AATGACAATTCTGGACTTCAAGCTATATTACATGGCTATAATCATCATCACCAAGACAGTATGGTACTGGCACAAAAACAAACACAGATCAATGGAACACAATAGAAAACCCAGAAATAAACCCACAGTTAATTATATGGTCAGCTAATCTTCAACAAAGGAGGCAAGAATATCCAATGGGAAAAATACAGTCTCCTCAACGAATGGTTTGGGACAACTGGACAGCAATATACAAAAGAATAAAACTGGATCACTTTACACAGAAATAAATTAAAAATAGATCAAAGACCGAAGTGTGAGACCTGAAACCACAAAAATCCTAGAAGAGAACACAGGCAGTAACTTCTTTGACATTAGCCATAGCAACTTCTTTCTAGATGTGTCTCCTGAGGCAGGGAAATAAAAGCAAAAATGAACTATTGGAACTACATCAAAATAAAAAGCTTCTGCACAGCAAAGGAAACAACAAAACTAAAAGAAAAGCCTATGGAGTGGGAGAAGATATTTGCAAATGATATATCTGATAAAAGGGCTAGTATCCAAAATATATGAACTAATATAACTCAACACCCAAACCCAAATAATCCAATTCAAAACTGAGAAGACATGAATAGACATTTCTCCAACGAAGACATCCAGATGGCCAACAAATTCATGAAAAGACGCTCATCATCACCTATCATCAGGGAAATGCAAAACAAAATTATCAAAATGGCTAAAACGAACAGAAGAAACAACCAGTGTTGGCAAGAACGTGGAGAAAAAGGATCCCTCTTGCACTGTTGGTGGGAATGCAAACTGGAGCAGCCACTGTGTAGAATAGTATGGAGGTTCCTCAAAAAGGTAAAAATAGAGCTACCTTATGATGCAGCAATCACACTACTAGGTATCTACCCAAAGAATACAAACACAGTAATTCAGAGGGATACAGGCACCCCTGTGTTTATATTTATAGCAGCATTATTTAAAATAGCCAAGATATGGAAGCAGCCTGAATATCCAAGGACTGATGAATGGATAAAGAAGTGGTATGTGTATATATATATGCGCAACAGGATATTATTCAGCCTTAAAAAAGAATGAAATCTTGCCATCTGCAAAGACATGGATGCCACTGGAGTATAATGCTAAGCAAAATAAGCCAGAGAAAGATAAATACCAGATGATTTAAGAAAGAAAACAAATGAGCAAAGGGAAAAAGAGAGACAAACCAAGAAACAGACTCTTAACACAGAGAGCACGCTGATGGTTACCAGAGGGGAGGTAGGTGGTAGGGATGGGGGAAATAGGTGATGGGGATGAAGGAGGGCACTTGTGATGAGCACCAGGTGATGTACAGAAGTGCTGAATCACTACATTGTACACCTGAAACTAATATTACACTGTATGTTAACTGGAATTAAAATAAAAAACTAACAAAAAAGAAAAAAAAATTACCATTTGGTAACCATGACAGTAATATCTGATTCAGTCATGAATTAATTTTGGATCAACTGATGCCTGTGAAAACTACAGGGTGAAAATTTGATGAATAACAGGACTTTTACAAATAGTCTCAAAGTATCTCCCTACAAGAAACTTCGTTCCACAGAGAAAAAGAGTAGCTTTACAGGAGATTAAGTTGGCAGACACCACCCTAACCAAATGGTCAAAGTTCCTACCACCTGTGATGGGACAAACACCATGTGCCTCCTGAAGGGACCCTCAACATGAGAGCACACTGACACAGTGCACAGGAAGAATCTATTAATGACGACAGGGTATGAAGGGTCAAATTACAAATCTGTATGCTTTGTGAATGGCATGGCCATGAAAGACAAAGACTGAAACACTGGTCTAGATGAAAAGAGGACAACGATGCACACCACGTGATTTAAGATCTTCTCTGAGGTAAAGAGCAGCACCAAGACAAACGCCAAAATCTGTAGAGGGCCCTCAGACTGTAAACCAGCACTGTTTCAATGTCCACTTCCTGATTTGCACATCTGCACTGTGGTTCTGGAGGAGAATGGCCATGTTTTTAGGAAGCATATACTGAAATACTTAGAGGTAACGGGGCATCACATCCGTTGCTTACTCTCAAGTGGTTTTAGGAAAAAAAGGCTGTACATAAAGATAGAATGAGACAGGGAATATGATACAATGTCGGTGATAAAAGAATCTGGGTGACAGCTCCATGGCAATTCCTTGACTATTCTTAGAAGTGTCTGAAATTATCTTAAAATAAAAAGCAAAAAAAGTTTTTCCTATCTTAGACTGACCATTGTCAATACCAACCCTGTCTACACAGAAGCAGAGACCTTGCACTGATCCAGATCTTGTTTGGTGGGAGCCAATCACCCTGTACTGAGCAAGTAGCTGAACACAAACCACTCACCTCTCATTATAACTGGGTTGCCCTACACCTGGGACTGCATATTCTGGAACTATCAGAGAGGAACATTTAAAAATCCTTTTTTTTTTTAAATAGGCATTAAGTGAGAGAAAATATTTAAATATAAAATGAAAAAAAAGTATAAAAGTTAGCTTGTAGAGTGTATGTACAGAAACACAATTCTTAACAAAAATGATCTGAAAGAATGACAGGAACTTTTAAAGAGTTCTGTAGCCACACGCTGGGGAATCTGCAAAGGTCTTTAGAAGTTATCTTCTGAGAATTTCAAGGGTTGGGCTTTGTTGCACCAGGTTTTTTGGTTACTTCTGAACTTTTTAATAACTTACATTTGGGCTTAAAAGCCTCCCAACAGATGCCTAACACACTTAAAATAAATCCAAACCCTCACTGGGCTCTACAAATTCAACACCATCTCCCACTTGTCTGCCCTTTGACCTTGTCAGGAGGAGCCTGACAAGCGCAGTCCATTAACTGCTCCAAAAATTACGTGTGTGGTCCCCTCTGCTTAGAACACTTTCCCTCCAGACCTTCCCACTTTCTAGTGTCATCTCCTCAGAAAGACATTCTTAACCACCCTATATCTGAGATGCTCCTTATCTCACCTCCTGGGAACATTCTCTACCTTTTCCCCTGGCTTTTTCTTTACGGCACTTACCTCCTAACGTACTGTACGTCTATTTGCTCTCTCCTCTAGGATCATGTAACCTCCGCAGGGGCAGCCCCTCACTGCTGCTTCCCCAGGGCTGAAAGCAGTGCATAGTCCATAGCAGGCACCAAAACGTGTGTTTATAAGATGAATGAATGAACGTACTGCATCTATTTTTCTTTCACATATTATAAAGAGCATGAAAATGACCAACACGGACTGTGCCTCAGTGAAGACTGTCCTCGGAAGCGGCCCATAAGCTGGGACGTGAGAGGTAAGCAGAAGCTGGCCAGGCAGGGGAGGTGGGAGCTGAGGAGAGCTGGGGCCAGGAGGAAGCAGGCCTGTGAGGAAATACTGATCCAACGCCCACAGTGAGGGCGAGGCAGCCAGCTTCAGCCTGGAGGTGTGGGCGCACACACCAGGAGCCTGCAGGCCACGTAGTCTGGATGTTTATTTTAAGGGCTCAAAAACCAATGAATAGTTTTACAGAAGAGTGACCACCAGGTCTGCTTCTTTTACAGACCACTTTTCAGAAGCGAAAGGGGGGTCCTGAAGAGAGATGACATGGGCTGAACTAGGATGGCAGCCAAAGAGACCGAGGACAGACCTTTTAGATGAATGAGGACACAATGGATAGATGAATGGATAAAGAAGATGTGTGTGGGGGGGGGCTGTGTGTGTGTAAAATGGAATACTACTCAGTCATCAAAAAAATGAATTCTTGCCATTTTCAATGCTATGGACAGAGCTAGAAGATATTATGCAAGAGAAGTCAATCAGAGAAAGACATATGATTTCACTCCTATGTGGAATTTAAGAAACAAAAGAGAGAAGCATAGGTAGGGGAAGGGAAGGAAAAATAAAGTAAGATAAAAACAGAGTGAGGCAAACCATAAGAGACTCTTAATCATAGGAAACAAGCTGAGGGTTGCTGGAGGGGAGGTGGGTGAAGGGTTGGGGTAACTGTGTGATGGGCATTAAGGAGGGCACATGATGTAATGAACACTGGGTGTTATAGAAGACTGATGAATCTGACCTCTACCTCAAACTAATACACTGTATGTTAATTAATTGAATTTAAGTAAAATAAAATTAAGAAAAAAAAAGATTAATGAGGACACAGAGCCAGAGTGTGCTGAATGCATATTCAGATTATTTTCCAGAAATCCTCCAGTAAGATATTTTCTGAAAACACCAGGCTATGAAGATATGAAGAGCTCTGGCAGCTTAGTGTTATATTAATGTGAAAAGGCAGCAAAGTGGAGAGTGTTAAGTCTTGGGCTCAGATCACAACTGTGATTTTATAGCACAGATCACAACTGTGATTTTATAGCAAATCACTTCCAATTTCCTGAGCCTATTTTCTCATCTATAAAGTAGGGATAACACATTCATCTTCTGTGATCTTGCCAAATAAAGCAAGCAAACTACCAATGCCTGGCACATGAGAATTAGAAAAGGAATCCTTCGTTAGCATGGCCTCACTGTGTGATCCTGCTTACCGCCCCCTCGGGGCATGATCCTGCAGGATCACCATCTCATCGTGAGATCCTGCGTCACCACACCCTCACACCACTGCTTCACAGTGTAATACTGTTTTGTCAAACCTTTTCCATGTGTGGTTCCATTTGTTGAGAAACATGAGGTAACCACGGCTACAGTTATATTTATGTTACAACAGGGTCTAAAAATACTGCCTGAATTTTGAATGAATCAGAGTATACATTTTAATTCACTAGGAGTATATACATGTTAAGACTTTTTTTAAAATCCGTGTTTTTTTTTTAAGATTTTATTTTTAAGCAATCTACTCTGCATGTGGGGCTCGAACCCACAATCCCAAGATCGAGAATTGCATGCTCCACTGACTGAGCCAGCCAGGTACCCCTTAAAATCCATTTTAAAAAATGATCTTCAAAACAAAAAATAATCCCTAGATTATTGAAATAATAGTCTCACCTCTTCAAGGGAAGATTCCAAATTCATTCCAAAAGCAACTCCCATTAGTCCAAAGAGAGAGAGAGAGAAGGTTCCCATGGTCAACTGTAGGTTCAACCTCATCATCACATTACGGTGGCTGCAGAGGGGAACACCTTAGATCAGAAGGGCCCACTAACTATACACAGCAAATTCACGAAACCATCTATTAAAGACCACAGAAATTAAATCTACTCCCTTAAAAAAGGACATCTTTCTATGTAGCATTTATAGAGGATAATGATGGTATAACTCCTCCCAAAATGACAGTTCCTTAAAAGCTTTATCACTTCAGAATTCCTTTAATTGTTCTACAGGATGCTTTCTTACCTGTCCAGATTGATGAATATGATACTTTGTGAATCATCAATCAGTACCCTGAGTTCCCGGGTTGCATTGGAAAGATCCTCAGCTAATCGGTAGTAGTTTTCCAAGAGCAGCTCCATCTCTTCCGCATGGTCGATTCCAGCACTGCTCTTTTCACTTCAATTAAGAGTTAACGTAATTAGCATACCCCCAATACACCCATCATCCATTTGGTACGAAAAATTTTCCAAATCCATATATAATATTCAACTACCAATGAAAAAAGTGGCCTTTGTTTTTTCTGTTGGGTGATTGAGGCCAATCAGTGAGTGGCTTTGTCAAGTGGTCCTAAACACTATACAGAGTAAGCTGAAGGCGCAGGTTCTAGTCTACAGGCTAGATGGGTTCACTGTATTCGGTGGCCCCAAGTCGAGGGATTCTCATGCACATATGCACTACCAGTTATAGGAAAATCCACATGTGTAAATGCTGATGAATGAGTGCAAATTAGTGAAAATAAGGCAAAATAAAACTAAAAACAAACATAAAAAGCTTTTGTTTTCCAAGGTAGATACATAATGTCATTTTCATATATGAAGAAAGATGTTCTTAAATGATGTCAATAGTCACTTTGTGCCTCTTTACTCATGCCTCCCACCCCCTACCAAGGAGAGTAAGTAGGACTGAAGTACTCTGTGAAAGATACTTATAGAGTATATTAGACGCAGACTGGCCTGATACGCAAGGCAAACAAGAGTTACAAGTGTGTTCAAGTTTCCGCTACTATATTTATCTGCTAGAAAACAGCACTTATAATCTTAATTTTTCCTTATTAGAATATAGATAACTAATGTCCCAAAATGCTTAAAAAAATCTGTATAGATTGGGAAACTATACACATTACAGAGGTGTCTCCATTAATTTCTAATACTTGTCTACAAAGAACAAAAATGAAATATTCTGAGTACTTAAAAAGTAAACATTTAACTTGAGTGTGCATAAGAAGAGTAAATAATTTCTAATTCTGTAAGCGATAAAAGGTTTCTAAGATAAGTATTTTTATATTAGACCAAAGCTACAGAATATATGCCAGTGTCTTACTTTTCCTTCGACCCCCCTCTCCCTGCCCCCATGTGAGTATGTTTTCCTCTCTTCCACTGTACTCCCCAGGCTAAGTTATTCAGATAGATGTGTGTGCCACTTTGGGGGTCAGTCCCTTGAAGACAAAGGTATGGTTTATATTCATCACAGCCCAGCACAGTGACATGTACACAGTAAACACTCAATATATCCTCATTAAACTGAATCAGATGCAATACATACGGGAAAATAGTGAAACTGGGGATAAAAAGTGCCTATATTTTCTATTCTGGAGAAAACGTTATGTTCTCGAAGAAGAACCACCCTGCAGAACACAGAAGACTGATCCTAACAAAGTAAGTAACAAAGCAGGATTGTACACTCACAAGACTTGCGGGTCACTCCACTTTGTCAGACACAGTTCTTCCAGCAACTCTTCTTCATCCAAGATCTCCAAAATGGATTCTTTGAAAATTTTAATATCTGTTTCTAACTCTGACAGACTAGAAGAGTAGTTGTAGAGAAATGATCAATAACATTAACTTATAAACACATTTCCCTACTAAAAAAAGTATCTTTCTAAAGTATCTTATCAAGTAGACCCACTTATATATTCATGGTAAACACCAACTTGTAAAATTTTTTTTTATATTTACCATGAAGAATCAATTCGCATCCAAAAATAAAGACCCTAATACTGCATTTCATGCAAAACAGCTTTTCAATAAACATTAGTCTGTGTGCCCTTTTTAGCTCAACTTCCCACCTACGCTACTTTCCTACTTTGAAGGCACAGAGAGAAAACCATTACCATTAGCAAAACCAGTTGGTATTTTTTTTTTTGTATCTGAATTAATGTTATACATTTTCTATCAGGACTACTAAAAGAGAAGCTTCAGATATTTTTGTCTACCTCCCAAATTGGTAAATCACCCATATTTACCTTTTGCCATTTTGTAGTAAGATGTGCAGTTTGCTTTTGTCTACAGAAGAATGTTTGGGATCCACTAAAGCTTCCAATGTCTCAAGGATCAGTGGCTGCAAAATGCTAAGTTTCCCCTGAAGAGTGCTGATCTAGATAACAACATGACCTTTCATAAGAATCAAAACAATCTTTTTAGAATACTCAGGGTCAGTGAATCCTCTGATTAAACACAGAAATCTGTAATAGCTAGAAAGGCTGGTAATGTTTCAGAACATGGTCAGGGCTGGAATGATTCAAAAATTAGATCTACCAGGTTAAAAGATAACCATGCATAATGCTACCAGGCTTGCATTTGGTGGACTGGGAATTAACTCTTGTAAGAGTCTTCCCCCACAAACATTTATTATGAAAAGAATGCAAGATTGATTAAAATAAAGCCTGCCATTCCATGGTTAAAACACATACTTTACACTTGGTAAACAATAACCATGTTCTTTGTAAACAGAATACAGTTCAAAATTCCTGTGAAAAAAATTCTTCCAAAAACCAAAACATAACTTAGGATTTTAAGAAATCAAGCAGTGTCAGGGCGCCTGGGTGGCTCAGTCGGTTTAGCATCTGCCTTCAGCTCAGGTCGTGATCCCAGGGTCCTGGGATCGAGCCCCGCATCGGGCTCCTTGCTCAGCGGGGAACCTGCTTCTCCCTCTGCCTGCTTCTCCCCCTGCTTGTGCTCTCTCTCTCTCTCTGACAAATGAATGAATGAAAGAAAATCTTAAAAAAAAAAAAAAGAAATCAATCAGTGTCAAGTCAAAAGTACACTTATTATTTAGGCATCCAGCAGGAAAGCACTGATACAGCTACACCCATTGTTAAAATACTGAAATACTTCCATACCAGTTGGTAAACAGCGTAAGAGAATTAAGCAGTGACTGGGGAAACGACGAATGGCATAAATGCCAGCATGTACTACTTACCTCAGCACGAGCTCGACAGAGCTTATTCAGCCCATGTAGCCTGCCACTGACCGCACCTTCCCTCCTTTCCCTCCCCGGCACGTTCCCTGTTCAGGAACTGTGCCCCAACTAGTCACCATCTCCTCGGCTGGTACTAGCTGGTGCTCCTCCCTCAGGAACCTGAGCGAGTGGGGGATGTAGCCATTTCCTACTCCCTCGGTACAGCAGGGCAGACGAAAGGAAGGGTCCTGGGTTGATCCAATCCTCACCCACTGCACGTCCTCTTTACCTGCTTCCTTCTCTCACTCTGGTTAGCATGCCCTAGAACCAACTGTTGCGTGCAGCCAGTTCCTGAACAGTACTATCCTGACTACTGGGGGGGGGGAAGATCATGAACAATTTGTGGGGCCAGGAGGGCAGTGACCACCGTTGTTCAGGGCCTGACAGAGTCCCTGGACACCCAGTAACTATCCACATAATGGGGGAATCATTAGAAGAATTACACCTGGTTCCTATGTCAAAGTAGGTCTCAAACAGTGGCATCATCTAGCGGTCTCCAAGGACTGTACACACAAATCAGAGTGAGATGTGAAGTATTAGAATTACTTGAGCTGTAATGTTTATCATGTGTATGCAGTTTTACAACACACAATTTAGTTACAGAATAAAATGGAATACATTTAAAACTTTGATATGTTCTCTTATATCCTGTTTAGGATGTTAAGTATTTTGAATTATCAGCCCTAAAATACAGTTATCAAAATTATACAAAGGACAGCCAACTTAAAATGTGCTTAGCTGAGTGAATGTCATAGTATGATGCTCAGAGAGACTCTATAAACTGTACCTGGAGACCTCGGATCCATCTGATTGGGTCATACAGCTTCACAAGTAAGTACTTTCTCTGCCCAGGACTCTCACAGATGCTTTTGTTTGGAGGCGGGGTGTGGTTAGGGAAGGTGCCACTGAAATAATACCAACTTGTCTTCCTACTCAACAGCACTTTAAAACAAGAACAAATTCAAGAAGTGAAGTAAGAACAGGCTTACCCAATACTGTAGGAGGGCTTCTGTAGCCCGGAACTCGAAAGGTAAGGGGTGGGTGACAAGCTGTCCTTCCCCAGCCAACTGTGAAGGGAGTTCCCGGAACAGCCATCGCTCTAAATTTAAATTACGATAATCTAATATCAGAAGACACTCTGGAGTTATCACAGCTTTCAAATACTGCAAAAAAAAAAAAAAAAAAATCCATATGTACACACAAGCACACACGCATACATGAAAGGTGCAGAGCTATAGGAAAAGAACAACATTCATAAAACAGGGTTTAATACTGTTTTAATTCTGGATTAAGCCTAAACCAAATCACTATTAAAAGAAAAAAAAAAAAAGACATTTTTTTTTAAAAAAAGGAAGCCTAAAAATATATGTACTTCTAACTCAATCTCAACACAACTGGAATTAAGCTACATATCAAGACTTCCAGGATAATCAGAAGAACAACAGGGAACAAAGAAAACAAGATAAGGTATTCTTAAGTCATGTATTTGGTAGACTTTTAGAAAAGATTTATAGTTTAATCATGATTACTTTGGCTGAAGTGAGAAAGTTGCTTTTTTAAACTGTCACCAAAACATATTAAGCTAATTTGAAATTATAAAGATAAAACATAGCCTTAGTACTCTAATTTAGAGCACCAAGAAATTAGAAATTTATTCTGAAGACTGGCATCCGTTAAGTGAGAAGAGTAGTCTGTGGCCACTGTATTAGTGATATAAAAATTAGAGATTTTTCACATTTTTCCCCAACATATTATGAAAATTTTTCTACATAAAGTTGAAAAATTACACAGTGAACACCTATATACATATTATTTAGACTGTACAAATAACATTCTGCTAAATTTGCTTTATCACACACTTCTCTCTACATCAAAGAGATAATTCTTTTAAAAAATGATCAGGGAGAAATATTATTTTAATTCCAGTATACTTATCAGTGCTATCTTAGTTTCAGGTATACAATATAGTGATTCAGCAATTCTATACATTACTCAGTGCTCATTCATAGTAAGTGTGCTCTTTATTCCCCAACACCTATTTCCCCCATCCCCCAAACCCCCTCCCCTCTGGTAACCATCTGTTTGTTCTTTATAGTGAAGAGTCTGTTTCTGCCTGTGCTCTCTTCTAGGATTTTTATGGTTTCAGGTCTCACATTTAGGTCCTTAATCCATTTTAAGTTTATTTTTGTGTATGGTGTAAGAAAGTGGTACAGTTTCATTCTTTTGGATAAGGCCGTCTGGTTTTCCCAGCACCATTTATTGAAGACACTGCCTTTTTCCCACTGCATATTCTTGCCTCTTTTGTCAAAGATTAATTATCTCTGGGTTTTCTATTCTATTCCTGATCTATTTTTGTACTATTACCATACTGTTTTGATTACTACAGCTTTGTAATATATCTTTAAATCTGGGATTGTGATGCTTCCAGCTTTGTTTTTCTTTTTTAAGACTGCTTTGGCTAATTGGGGTCTTTTGTGGTTCCATACAAATTTTAGGATATTTGTTCTAGTTCTGTGAAAACTGCTGTTGTTGGGAGGAAAAGATGGTGGTGGAGTAGGACACTAGGCTTGTCTCCTCCCACCAATACAACTAGGTAACTATTAAACCATCCTAAGTACCCCAGAAATCAATCTGATGATTGGCAGATCAAACTCCACAACCAAAAGTAGAGGCGAGGCCACAAAGAAGGTAGGAAGGATGGAGCTGCAACGTGTAGCCACGGTGGTGGGGAGGGAGCCGTGGCTGCGGGGAAGGACATGAGATAAACTAGCACACAGGACAGCGCACAGGAAAAACAAATCCCTGCAGCAACTGGCTTGAAAAGCAGGAGAGCCTGAATTTCATGAGTTCTTGTAACCAGTGGGGCTTAAAGCCTGGAGTTTTAAAGGTCAGCATGCTTAGAGCACAGAGGACACTGGGGCAGCTCTTGGAGAAAAGGCAGGGCAAACAGACCTTGGACATACAGCATGGAAACAGCAATCTGAAGAGCACCTGGGGCACACAGTAGGAAAATGTTAGTTGCTCATCTTGGAATGTGTCCCAGAGAGGCACCATTCATGGAGAGACCACTCTAGGAACAAAGGAACAGGTAGGCGCCATTTCCCTCCCCTGCCGCTCAGCATAAACACAGAGGCACCCGCAGAAACCAGCCTAGCAGTGACCCTCGCTACCTAACTCACTTACACCAAGTCTCACCACCCCTCGCTCTGGTGGAACAGGTCGTCTCAGTCACGCCTGTCTCAGTCCCAGCACAGCAGGCCCCCTCCCCGAGAAGACCAGCCCAATCCCCTGCTCATACTGCATCTCCTGACCCAGGAGTTTCGTGAGGCCTTAGTTTCCATGGCGGTAGCAATAGCTCTCATTTCACAAGCAGACCAGAGCACACCTAGTTAAAATGTGCCACATTCAGGCTAGGGACCAAACATTGTCCACAACAGGCAAAGAGAGCCTCTGCAGATGACTGACCTGAAGGATAAAGTGGCCAGGACACAACAGAAGAGCTCTCCCAGCACACACTGGAGATACTCGCAGAAGTGCCAGGCCCTGGGAAACAGGGGACACTACACTGCAGGAACTACAGGACCTCTTTTTCATAAGGCCATTATCTTTAAGAACAGGAGACGTAACTGACTTTCCTAACGCACAGAAATAGGCACAGAGACTTAGACAAAATGAGAAGACAGAGGAATTTATACCAAATGAAAGAACAGGACAATGCCACAGCCAGAGATCTAAGCAAAGCATACATAAGTAACATGCCTGATGGAAATTTAAAACGATGATGATCATAAGGATACTCGCTGAAATTGAGAAAAGAGTGGAGAACACCAATGAGATCCTTAATGAGATGAGTAATAATAAAGAGATAAAGGGGTCAATAAATGAGAAACATTTCGCTTGATGGAATGAAGAAAAGGCTGGAAGAAGCAGAGGAATGAATGAATGACCTAGAAGACAGAGTAATCAAGCTGAACAAAAGGGAGGAAAAAGAATTATGCAACAGGAGAACAGACTTATGGAACTCAGTGACTCTATCAAATGTAATATCATTCATATTGTAGGAGTCCCAGGAGAGAGAGAAAACTGGGTAGAGAATTTACTTGAAGAAGTAACAGCTGAAAACTTCCATAATCTGGGTAATGAAACAGATATCGATTCAGGAGGCAAAGAACTCCCAACAAAATCAACAAAAGCATATCTACACCAGACATACTGTAATTAAAATGGCAAAATATAGTGATAAAGAAAATATAAAAAGCAGCAAGACAAAGATGATACTTACATACAAAGGAAACCCCATAAAGCTATCAGCAGATTTTTCAGCAGAAACTTTCCAAGACAAAGGGGTGGCATGATGTATTTTAAGTTCTAGATGGGAAAAACCTGAAGCCAAATATACTTTATCCAGCAAGGCTATCATTCAGAATAGGAGAGTGAGAGGTTTCCAGAGAAACAAAAACTAAAGGAGTTCATGACAACTAAACCAGCCCTGCAAGAAATATTAAAGGGGAATCTTTGAGTGCAAAGGAAAGACTAAAAATGACAGTATGAAGTTTAGAAACACAAAAGCAGTAAAAATGAATATACCTATAAAAAATCAGTCAATGAACTCAAAAATGAAAGGATATAAAATGATACCATATACCTAAAACTTGGGAGGCAGGGGGGAGAATGGTTCCAAACTTAAAGGACCATCAACTTCATAAAGACTGCAATATGTAGATGTTATATACAAATGTAATGATGACCACAAGTCAAAACCAATTATAGATATGTAAAAAAAATAAAGGACTCCAAGTCTATCACTAAAGAAACCCAGCAAACCATGAAAGAAAGACAAGAAAGGATCAGAGAAAATCTTTTTTTTTTTTTTAAAGATTTTATTTATTTATTTGAGACAGAGAGAATGAGAGAGAGAGAGCACATGAGAGGGGGAGGGTCAGAGGGAGAAGCAGACTCCCCGCCGAGCAGGGAGCCCAATGTGGGACTCGATCCAGGGACTCCAGGATCATGACCTGAGCCGAAGGCAGTCGCTTAACCAACTGAGCCACCCAGGCGCCCCGGATCAGAGAAAATCTTGAGAAACAACCACAAAACAATAAAGTGGCATAAATACATTTCTACCAATAATTACTTTGAATGTAAGTGGACTAAACATTCCAATCAAAAGACACAGGGTATCAGAATGGATTAAAAAAACAAGACCAATCTATCTGCTGCTTACAAGAGACTCATTTTAGACCTAGACACAGATTGAAAGTGAGGGGATGGAGAAGCATTTTTCATACAAATGGAAGTGAAAAGAAAGCCAGAGTAGCAATACTTTTATTGGACAAAATAGACTTTGAAACAAAGACTGTAATGTGAGACAAAGAAGAACACTATATAATAATAAAACGGACAATCCAACAAGAAGATATAACAATTGTAAATATTTATGCACCCAACATGGGAGCACCCAAATACACAAAACAGTTAATAACAAATATAAAGGAAGTAATTAATACTAATACAATAATAGTAGGGGGCTTTAACACCCTACTCACATCAATGGACAGATCATCTAAACAGAAAATCAACAAGGAAACAATGGCTTTGAATAACACGCTGAGCCAGATGGATTTAACAGATATATACAGAACATTCCATCCTAAAACAGCAGAATGCACATTCTTTTCAAGTGTAGGTGGAACATTCTCCAGAATAGATCATGTATTAGGCTACAAAACAAGCCTCAATAAATTAAAAAAGACTGAAGTTATACCATGCATCTTTATTGACCACAATGCTATGAAACTAGAAATCAACCATAAGAAAAAATCTGGAAAGAACACAAATATATGGAGGTTAAATAATATGCTACTAAACAATGAATGGGTCAACCAGGAAATAAAAGAAGAAATAAAAAGGCATATGGAAACAAAGGAAAATGAAAATACAATGGTTCAAAACCTTTGGGATACAGCAAAAGCAGTCCTAAGAGGGAAATATACAGCAATACAGGCCTTCCTCAAGACACAAGAAAAATCTCAAACAACCTAATCTTACACCTAAGGAAGCTAGAAAAATAATAACAAAGCCTAAAGCCAGCATAAAAAAGGAAATAAAAAGGTTAGAGCAGAAATAAATGATATAGAAACTAAAAACACAATAGAACAAATAAATGAAACCAGGAACTGTTTTCTTGGGGGGAAAAATCAATTAAAATAGATAAACCCTAGCCAGACTTAACAAGAAAAAAGAACCAAAAATAAAAATCACAAATGAGAGAGGAGAAATAATAACTAACACCGCAAAAATACAGTTATAAGAGATTATGAAAAACTATGCCAACAAACCGGACAAACTAGAAGAAATGCTTAAGTTCCTAGAAACTAGTACCAAAATTGAAACAGACTGATATAGAAAATTTGAACAGACTAATTACCAGCAATGAAATTCAATCAGTAACCAAAAAACTCCCAACAAACAAAAGTCCAGAACCAGAAGGCTTCACAGGTGAATTCTACCAAACATTTAAAGAAAAATTATTATCCATTCCTCTCAAATTATTCAAAAAAAAAAAAAGGAGAAAGGAAAACTTCCAAATTCATTCTATGAGGCCACTGTCACCCTGACACCAAAACCAGATAAAGTTACCACATGCACACACAGAAAAAGAATCACCACAAGCCAGTATCTCTGATGAACACAGATGCAAAAATCCTCAACAAAATACTAGCAAATCAAATCCAACAATACATTAAAAATACATTAAAATAATCATTCACCATGATCAAGTGGGATTTATTCCTGGGATGTAAAGGTGGTTCAATATTCACAAATCAATGTGATACATCACATTCACAAGAGAAAGGATAAAAACCACATGATCATTTCAATAGATGCAAAAAAGCATTCGACAACGTACGACATCCATTCATGATAAAAACCTTCCACAAAGTCAGATTAGAGGGAACATACCTCAACATAAAAAGGCCAAATATGAAAAACCCACAGCAAACATCATACTCAAAAAACTAAGCATTTTCCCTAAGATCAGGAACAAGATAAGGATGTCCAGTCCCACCACTTTTACTCAACACAGTACTGGAAGTACTAGCCACAGCAATGAGACAACAAAAAGGAAAACAAGCATCCAAATTGGTAAGGAAGAAGTAAAATTTTCACTATTTGCAGATGACATGATACTATATATAGAAAAACCTTAAAGACCACCAAAAACCCGCTAGAGCTGATACACGAATTCAATAGTCGCAGAATACAAAACCAAGGTACAGAAATCTCCTGTATTTCTATACGCCAGTAATAAAGCAGCAGCAAGAGAAATTAAGAAAACAACCCCATTCACAACTGCACCAAAAACCGTAAGATACCTAGGAATAAACTAACCAAAGAAGTAAAAGATCTGTACTCAGAAAACTACGAACACTTATGAAAAATTGAAGAAGACACAAAGAAATGGAAAGACATTCCATGCTCATGAGTTGGAAGAACAAATACTGTTAAAATGTCTATACTACCCAAAACAATCTACACATATAATGCAATCCCTATCAAAATACCAACTGCATTTTTTACAGGACTAGAACAATCTTAAAATTTGTATGGAATCACAAAGACTCCAAATAGCCAAAGCAATGTTGAAAAAGAAAAACAAAGCTGGAGGCATCGCAATTCCGGACTTCAAGCTCTATTACAAAGCTGCAGTCATCAAGACGGTATGGTACTGGCACAAAAACAGACACAATGATCGATGGAAAGGAACAGAAAACCCACAAATGGACCCACAACTATCTGGTCAACTAATCTTGACAAAGCAGGAAAGAATGTCCAATGGAAAAAAGACAGCCTCTTCAACAAATGGTTTGGGACAACTGGGCAGCCTCATCCAAAAGAATGAAACTGGACCACTTTCTTACACCATACACAGAAATAAATTAAAAATGGATTAAAGACCTACATGTGAGACCTGAAACCATAAAAATCCTAGAAGAGAACACAGGTAGTAACTTTTTTTGACACTGGCTACAGTAACATTTTTCTAGACATATCTCCTGAAGTGAGGAAACAAAAGCAAAAATGAACTATTGGGACTACATCAAAATAAAAAGCTTCTGCACAGCAAAGACACAGTCAACAAAACTAAAAGGCAACCTACGGAATGGAAGAAGATATTTGCAAATGACATATCCAATAAAGGGATAGTGTCCAAAACGTAAAGAACTGATCCAAAAAACAAATAATCCAATTAACAATGGGCAGAAGACATGAACAGACATTTCTCCAAAGAAAACATCCAGATGGCCAACAACAGACACATGAGAAGACGCTCATTATCACTTATTATCAGGGAAATGCGAATCAAAACTACAGTGAGATACACCTGACACCTAACAGAATGGCTAAAATCCACAACACAAGAAACAACAAGTGTTGGTGAGGATGTGGAGAAAAAGGAACCCTCCTGCACTGTTGGTAGGAATGCAAACTGGTGCAGCCACTGTGGAAAACAGTATGGAGGGTCCTCAAAAGGCTAAAAATAGAACTACCCTACGATCCAGCAATTGCAGTACTGGGTATTTACCCAAAGAATACAAAATACAGATTCAAAGGGATACATGTACCCCTATGTTTACAGCAGCATTATTTACATAGCCAAGATATGGAAATGGCCCAAGTATCCATTGGTTGATGAATGGATAAAGAAGATATGGTATATGTGTATCATGGAATACTATTCAGGCATAAAAAAGAATGAAATCTTGCCATTTGCAAAGATATGGATAGAGCTAGAGAGTATAATTCTAAGCAAAATGAGTCAGAGGGACAAATACCACATGATTTCACTCATAAGTGAAATTTAAGAAAGTAAACAAAGGAGTAAAGGAAGGAAAAAAAAAAAAAGACAAACCAAGAAGCAGACTCTTAACTATAGAGAATAAACTAATGGTTACTGGAGAGGAGGTAGGTAGGGGATGGGGGAAAAAGGTCATGGGGATTAAGGAGTACACTTGCTATGAGGAGCACTGGTGATTAAAATAAAAACTTAGGGGCGCCTGGGTGGTTCTGCCGGTTAAGTGCCGTCTGCCTTCAGCTCAGGTCATGATCCTGGAGTCCCGGGACTGAGCCCCACATCAGGCTCCCTGCTCAGTGGGGAGTCTGTTTCTCTCTCTGCCCCTCACCTTGCTCGTGCTCTCTCTCTCTCTCAAATGGATAAATAAAATTAAAAAATAAAAACTTAAAAAAAATTAATAAAAATGCTGTTGGTATTTTGATAGGGATTGCATTAAATCTGTAGATTGCTTTGGGTGGTATAGACATTTTAACAGTATTTGTCCTCCCAATCCATAAGCACAGAATATCTTTCCATTTCTTTGCGTCATCTTGAATTGTTCATCAGTGTTTTATTGTTTTCAGAGTACACATCTTTCACATCCTTGGTTAAGTTTCTTCCTAGATATTTTATTATTTTTGGTACAACTGTAAATGGGACTGTTTTCTTAATTTCTCTTTCTGATGCTTCATTATTAGTGTATTGAAATGCAACTGACTTCAGAGGCACCTAGATGGCTCAGTTGGTTAAGCCTCTGCCTTTGGCTCAGGTCATGATCTCAGGGTCCTGGGACCAAGCCCCATGTCAGGCTCTCCGCTGAGCAGGGTGTCTGTTTCTCCCTCTGCCTCTCCTCCCACTCTTGCTTGCACTGTCTCTCTCAAATAAAATCTTCAATCTTTAAAAAAAAAAAAAAAAAAAAAAAAGGGGAGGAAAGGAGGTCTAATGTCTACTGCAGGGCCCATATCATCGAGAACCATGTCTCATCTATTTCTGAACCCTAGACTTCAGCTCACCAAAATTACGTATGTTCAGATTTACTCTGAATCACAAGGCAAATTATATTTAGTGCACTCTCAGTAGGCAGGGGCAGATACAATTTATTTTAGGAAGCTTTTGGTTAAAATAAAAATTTAAGTTAAAATTATAAACTTCAGGGATATATTTGGAGAATCAGAATATATTCTTGGTAGCTGAAGTTATACTCTAATGACATGTAAATGTATGCAACTGAACATGTCTATTATAAGTCAAGATTCTTTTTCTTATCATTTCAGAAACCAGAGACCAAATTCAAGCAGTGAGAACAGGGACTGCAGTCATAACTTTTCCTACATAAAATAGAGCAGAGTTATGCCTTTCATGTATAGCATCCATGAAAGAGGAGTTCCACTCACAATGACATGTTATACTATAAAGTATCCTATGTTTCACACACCCATTTCATTACAAAATTGCTTTTAACCTAGATATTGATCAAGACAGCTAGGAAGTAACTTCTGTAAGATTCCAGTGAGAAATGTAGATGACATAAAACCCTTTACCTCCATTCTCATGATAATCCTATTGTTTCTGGTTGTGATGCTCATCACATGCTGAAACCTCAAATCTCTGGCTTGAAGACCTAATTCTTGATATAAGTCAGTTTTCTTCTTTTCTATAAAAGAAATATTTTTAACAAAGAGAGTGGGCCAAACCAATCAATGGAAGCCTTTAGGATCAGGGCACCCCTTCCACCAACATCGACATCATTTTCTACTACCAGAAACAAGCCAAAATAAGTCTTTTTAATAGCCATTTTTACCTCAAAAACATACGCTAAATTTGGTCAAACTCTAACAATTCTTTTTTCATCTTACCCATACTTCATAAAATTTCTTTGTATTTAGATGTCCCTTGGGACCAGTATAAAAATCCACAGCCACACACAATTAAGACAGTATCAATTCTAAGCTCTAGAAACGGATTATTTTTAAATACAGATTATACAGAACTACATTTCTGATGTTGTCTATCTTCAGTATTTTAAATCTGTGAACAGAGAATTCAATTTTCTTGGTTCTTGGACTAATACAAAATGAGAAAATAGTTTTCTCACTAGATTCTCCCACCTGAAAACTAACCTTATTACTTAAGAGAAAGCATAACGGATGAAGAAACTCAAGAAATGGTTCAAGTGGCATCTAGTTGTGGTGTCCAATCACACCTGTGACAGAGCGCTAATTAGAACAGTCACTGGAAGAAGATAATGGGCAAAAAATACCCCAAATTTCCCACCAGGATCTCGGCAAGAGCAGGAACAGGATCATGGGGCTGGAAGCACATGGGAGATCTGAATGAAGCCTGCAACTGAGGTCAGATAGTAAAGTGATGCTTAGTTTCCTTTTATAAAGTAATTGTCCATAAGAGCGATCATCAGCAGAGCGCCGTCTGGTGCCCCGCCCCTCCTGTCTCGTCCCCCATTGCCACCGCAATGTCAGTAGTACTACTTAAGTCTGCCTTAAATGTGGAACAGGAGATGTACATGTGGAGCAGGGCATGGAAAGGGAGACTCAAGAAACAAAATGTGCTCCAGCTGCATAGCAGCCTCTGCTCTCAAAAAACTCCTTTAACATCCTGTTAGAGAGAGTGGCTTCTGACAAAGAAACAGAAACCAGTTCTGGGAGAACATGCACAATCCAGGTGTCGCCAGATCCAATCAGGACTGATGGACAAATGCTGAAGCTAGATCTCTTTCAATACACCCATACACACAAAGACTATCCTACTCGAAACACTGCAGTTTCTTGATTTTCATCAGATTCACTCACAGATTTAAAAAATGATTTGTAAGAAAATGAAAAATACTCACCAAAAGAAGTAACATTTCCCTCTTTGTCAAATTTTGTCTGAAGAGAGATAATAAAAACAAAATATTATTTTCTCCCAAACGACTAAGCTTTTTACAGTATTATACCATATGGTATTATGATAGCTCCCAAATACGGCAGTGCACAGATAAGCCGTAACTGCTTCTTTAGGTTAAATTCAGCTATGAGTTAAGAGTTAAAAGAATCCCTTTCTCCTCTGCTAGGACAAATGTGACCTTTGATTAACTTTCTGTCTTGGCTCCCCTGGAAATCTGATAAGAGTATCAGCTGTGTTACTAAGCAACATTGCTTATGGTAAAAATGCTCAATGCCTGGTAGACTGCTTAGGGCCAGGAAGACTATGAAAGAATTACGGACACCTGGTGGGAAGCCATCCCCCTGCTTCTCCTTCAGTGGCGTGGCTCTTATAACTGGCCGTGTTCCCTGCAGGAATGCTGCAGGCTTTGGAGATGGTTACAAGAAATACCAGCACTAAAAGGTATGGGGCTTCTAAGCTAAGGTGGAACTCGCACCCACCTTTAAGAACATCAACTCCTTGCACCTGCTGTCACACGGGGTCCAGAGAAGCCGCTGGATGGCTGCAAGGACTTCTCTGGAAGAGGAAACACCTGATGCTGCCCTTGTGCGTTTCCTATCCTTTATCCTTCTGAACTGAGTGAGACCACATGTGGCTTATCTTGCGAATCTAAGTATCTACTGGAGGCTATGGAGTCTCTCTGGTGAGTGTTGTAGAATCAACAAAGATTTACAGAAAAGGCCTCTTCTGATAGTTTGAAGAGAGGACATGATGCAGAAAATATACTTATTTCCTATAAAGCAGAGGAAACATTTTTCTGAAATACTTGTCCACAAGTATTGAATACTTATCAAGTGTGAATATGTGCTGGAATGTACTAATTACTACTAAATACGCATGTTCAGAAAGACTGTAAGGTCCAGCTGAAGGTACAAGTGCTGGGTTCTTACCACGGAAACGCATGCATGCTGTTAACAGCAACAGAATAAAATCTCACAGTGTATATTTTAGCTTGCTCTTCACGAGCAAAGATAAGAGCAATGTGAGTACCATAAGCCACCAGTGTTCAAGGGCAAATTTACATCAAAAGAAACTATTTTGTGTAATATAGACTAGCTTTCTTCAAATTTATTTCACAAATAATATATCTGCTACAGAAAATTTGAAATAAAGTAAAATAAATCACATGGAATAAGACAAATTTTAGAGAAAGCCATGCCAATATTTTATTGAATGTTCTCCCAGACTTTTCCTACTCAATATATTCGTGTTACATTTTTCTGCAGTCTCTCCTCCATTTTCAACTTAATATAGTATTTTTGCATCTTAATATTTATCTTTACCGTTTTCCTTTAATGAGATATTTTCTGATAAAAAATCATACAAACTCATTTTTTTAAATGTTTATCTTATAAAGTAACATCATCTAGAGTGAGCTGATTAGCAAGCTCTCATTTCAAATAGTATCAACTAATTTTCTTAAGTGTTCTTGGGACACAATGATTTCACCTGCAAAGAACCTTCTTTCAATATTTAATATCTGAATTTATTCTTAACCAAACTGGCTAAATGTTCTAGAACACTGAATAAGAGTATGAACTTTCATACGTAATTCTGGGGGTTATTTTGTTTGCATAGTTTATAAAGAAAAATTCTTATGTTAATAAGCCTAAATAATGATGATGATAATGGCTAATATATATTGAATGCTTACATGTGTGAGGGTTTTATTTATTTATTTTTTTTAAGATTTTATTTATTTGAGAGAGAGAATGAGAGAGAGCATGAGAGGGAAGAGGGTCAGAGGGAGAAGCAGACTCCCCGCTGAGCAGGGAGCCTGATGCGGTACTCGATCCAGGGACTCCAGGATCATGACCTGAGCCGAAGGCAGTCGCTTAACCAACTGAGCCACCCAGGTGCCCCGTGTGAGGGTTTTATATACGGTCGTAATTCAAACCTCACAACAGTTCTATAAGGTAGGTACTATAATCCCCAGTTTATAGATGAGAAAACAAAGGCATAAAGATGTTATCATACCCTGTCAGAGTCCACCAAGTATTATACTAAGAGGCAGAGCTGAGATCTGAATTTAGGAATGCTAGTTCAGAACAACCACATTACTTTTTTTAATTCAACTTTTTCTAAAAAAAAAATTAAAGCTCTCCAAAAAGTTGCAAGAATAGCTTACAACCAATTCCCATGTGACTTTCACCTAGTCATCTTTTGCTAACATTTTGCCCTGATGGCCTAATTTTTCTCTTTCGAGATATGTGGGTGGGATACACATTATTTCTTATTATTTTATTTTCTCCTGAATCTTTTCAGAGAAAGCTGCAGAGATCATGAACCTTCAAAGCATGCACTCTTAAATATTACACTTCGCTGCCTTCAAAATGCTTCTGCATATATCACATTGCATAGCACAGGATCAAGCACCTACAGCTAACAGCCTTCAAGAACTTCCACATGGATTCACAGGGAAATCCTGAGTAGGAAGTGCTGAACTGTGATTCGAACAACCAGTTCTAGGATTAAAAGACTTCCACAGTCAATAGCAAAGTTCCAAGGGTGCTGTTAAGTAAATCTAGCTGGCACTCAGGTCACTAGCTAAAAAACACAAAGACAAGAGGACTTAGAAGTATAATGATTCACTATAAAACAAAAAATAAGTACTACCTTGGCCGACCAGTCTAATTCAGTTAACTTAGTAAGTATGGGAAGTACTCTGTGTTATCAAACGTACATACTCACCACAGTAAACACTGGCGCTACACTGGATAAAGTAGCTTGAGAGGCATCAGAAGTTCTGAACCGGCGCATTTCACGTGAAGAATAAATCAGAGAATTCTCTGTAATCACACAATAGGTATTAACATATGGCTACAATATAACTCTCATATTATGTGGTCTTCTGACTATTTTACTATTTTTTGGAAACTTTTTCCTAGAAGAGAAAGAAACACTCTTACTTGCTAATGTTAACATCTGTAGGGGATTATGTTAGATTTGGCAGGGAATGTTTTTTAAAAGTAACGGCTTAGGTGAGGTACTAAAATAATTTATGGATTCCAACCGCCTTTATTCTAATTATTACTGGTACCTCAAAGTCAAATGAACAAATATGTAACAGTGTTCTGAGATTAAAATGTTCACCTTTTTTTTTGCATAATTTAAAAAGGCTCTTCATGAAAATTATACTAGTAAGTATCTTTCAGAAAATTTAGATCCTAAATACCACCAGTTTCAGCATTCCAGTATCAGGATTATTTGATGTATAAATTATGAAACCTAGATTTTACTTCCATATTAACTTTTCCACATACTTTTAACTAGTGAATACTTCTGAAATAAGCCCTTGAACTGGAACGCAGGCCCCAGTGAACTGGAATGAAGAAAAATCTTTATTTGAAAATAAGTCTATTTAAAACGTGATTAGATTGAGTCGAAATGAGTTCTGAAGTGTAACCACGTAAATTTAATGACTGACAAAGGACACCATTCAAAATACTAAACATAAAAGGAATGGGCAGAAAGTGTAAAGATATTACCAATTATTTTCTGCTTCCAAAGTCATCATGTGGACTCCACAGAACATGCAGAAATACTCATTTCTGATCTTACTCCTTCCCATTACATATAGCGTCTCATGTAATTTGTTAGCATCTGAGGTTTGTTTCCCTTTTATAGAAGGGTCAGAGGAATAAAGGTAAAAGTCAGAGCTATAAATCAGCATTTTGTTAATCAGCCACAAGTTAGATAAAACGTTTCCATTGAGATTCTGAATCTCAGTGTTTTGTCCTAAAACAGCAGATGGGCTGAAACTGGGTTCCCAAGCATTATTAAAAGAGGGAATATGGGGTGTACCCCAATTCAGACTCTAGTGAGTGTGTGGTGGGGTGGTGAGTTACTGTAGAAGGATTCTGAGTATAGAACTGAGAAAACTTGAGAACAGCGCAATCCTTTTGAGAGCCATACATTTTCATGTCGCTTGTTTCTGAGCAATATTAGCACCTACATTCTCACATTTGTGAAAATGTTAACATTTGCTTTATCATTTGGTGAAAAAATAAATAACTCCGATTCCTCCTCCTCCCCACTACCGACCCCCTGCGGCTTGTTACACCCTACTTGAAAAACAAATCTTTCTCGGGAGCCACTCTTACTATGAAATCTCGAAGTTTTCAGCCTCATCTACAGGTGCGTCCCCATTCCTTACTTGAACACCTGGAAAAATGTATCAATGTCCAAAGGGAAGAAGACTAGGAAGAGAAATACTTAGATAGGGACGAAACTCTCACTAAAAAACAAACCAAAAAACCCTTCCCACCAGAGCGCTCCAGCGGGGAGACCTGCAGCGAGGGGCGTGGGGACCCCAGAGCGTCACGGCGCACAGGCTGGTCCGCGCTGGGGGCCGCCGGGACTCCCGGACGCGCGCCCCAAGGGCAGACCCGGGGCCGAGGCTTGCGCGGAGCGCGGGGCAGGTACGGCCACGCCGGGTCGGGTCGGGCGGCCGG